TAATTAAAATTAAATGCAACAAATTAAAAATTAAAAGAAAAGTCCGCAGGGAAAAAGACAAAAGGCCCCGAGGCTCCCTGAGGCCAAAAAGCCCCAAAGCCGGAGCGCATGCATTGCATGCGCCGATCTCAGGTGTACGTACACCGCAGCCTGGCCCCAGCTTCGCCGCCAAGCAGTTAATTCGCCCCTTCAGACTCAAAGACAGCAGCAAAAGACGCAGCAGCAGCAAAAGCAGCAGCAGCAGCAGCAGCAGCAGCAGCAGCAGCAGCAGCGGCGTTGAGCTGTGTCCCGAGCTCTGCATGCACCCGGGCCCTGCTGCGCTGCCTGCTGCATTTCATATTTGAAAACCTGCGGGTCTTAATAGGCTCAATGGATGCTGATGGCGGTGCTGCTGCTGCTGCACAAGCAGCAGCAGCAGCAGCAGCAGCAGCAGCAGCAGCAAAAGCAGCACCGACAGCAGCAGCAGCGGGAACAAGGACCGCACCAGCATCGTCTGCAGCATTAGCTGCAGCACCAAATGCAGCAGCAGCGGCAGAAGCAGCAGAAGCAGCGCCAGAAGCCGCAGCAGCACCAGCAGCAGCAGCAGCAGCAGCAGCAGCAGCACTTGCTGCGCCGCCTGCTGCGCCTCTCCGCATAGGGACAGTAGCTGAGTCGGGCTCTATTCGTATTCTGAGGCCTCCCGACTCCGACGACGACGACAGCAGCAGCAGCAGCAGCAGCAGCAGCAGCAGCAGCAGCAGCAGGCCAGCCTTTACCCCGTTGAGGCCGCAGATGCCCATTGAGGGTTTGCTGCAGTCGCATGCAGCAAAAATGCAGCAGCAGCAGCAGCTGCTGCAGCTGCAGCAAACAGGGAACATGGGGGGACGCATCAGCACTGCAGGGCGCATGGGAGGTAAGGCTGCTGCTGCTGCTGCTGCTGCTGCTGCTGCTGCTGCTGCTGTTGCTGCTGTTGCTGCTGTTGCTGCTGTTGGTACTTCTGCTGCTTCTGTTGCTGCTGCCAAGTCTTATTATCTCTCGCCGTCTTTTCTTTATTTTTCTTTCTTTATTCGCTCCTTTTTAGTCATGCGCTTTGCTGCTGCTGCTGCTGCTGCTGCTGCTGCTGCTATTGCTGCCATTGCTGCTGTTGCTGCTGCTGCCGTTACTGCCACTGTTGCTGTTGCTGCTGTTGCTGCTGCAAGCACGGTGCTGGCGCCGCCGCCATTGCCGCTCCCGCTGCTGCTGCTGCAACTGCTGCTGCTGCAACTGCTGCTGCTGCAACTGCTGCTGCTGCAACTGCTGCTGCTGCAACCGCTGCTGCTGCAACCGCTGCTGCTGCTGCTGCTGCTGCTGCAGTCTCTAACCAGAGTCGCTTTCGGGAGTTGATGGCTGCGAACAAGCCGCGGGAAGATCCGCTGCGTCCGATTACGCCGGAGGAGGTCGGCTGCAGCGCGAAACCCTAAACCCTAAACCCTAAACCCTAAACCCTAAACCCTAAAGGGTCGCTAGCATCGCGAGTTTGTGGCGGTTTTGGTTGATTCTTGGTGGTTTTTGCGGGTTTTTCTCGCGGGAATCGCAAACCCTAAAAGGGGGAATAAAAAGAAGAAAAAACTTGGCGAAAAATCAATTGCTGCACTTGCGCGCAGCTGGCGAAGCACCGCAAACGCGGAGACTGCTGGATGGCCCTCGGGGGCGTGGTTTATGACTTGTCTCCTTACTTGGACTTCCACCCGGGGGGCCCCCAGCTGCTGCTTGCTGCAGCAGGAGAGGAGGCCCTGCAGCAGTTCAAGCAGCGGCACCCCTGGGTCAACTACAAGTACATTTTGCTCAACTGCCAGGTGGGGCTGCTGCAGCAGCAGGGCCCCTGCAGCAGCAGCAGCAGCAGCAGCAGCAGCAGCAGCGGCAGCAGCAGCGGCGGCGCCGGCAGCACGCTGCTGCCCTTCCTGCCCCCCGCGCCGCTGCCCCTCCTCAGGCGCAGCAGAGACCCTCTTTTGAGGGGGCCCCAAGCCCGCGCGGGGGGCCCCCAGGGGGGCCCCCAGGGGGGCCCCCAGGGGAGCCCCCAGGGGGGCCCCCAGGGGGCCCCCGGGGGCTCTCTGGGGGCCCCCGGGGGGCCCCAGCGGACTCTGCCGCCCACCCTGGAGGAACCCGCAGACCTCGAGGGGCCCCCAGAGGGGCCCCCAGGGCTTGGGGGGCCCCCAGAAGTGGAGGGGGCCCCCAGGACCCCTCAGTTTGGATCCTGAAGGGTCTTTAGGGGCTTGGGAAGAAAGGGCTAGGGTTTAGGGTTTTAGGCTTTAGGGTTTTGTTCACTGCCTTGAGTCTAGAGGGCTCAGGGGACAGGGCAAGGCAGCTAGCTACCCAGCTAGCTAGCTAGCTACCTAGCTAGCCAATCAGCTAGCTAGCTAGCTAGCTAGCCAACTGGGCAAGGCAGCTAGCTACCCAGCTAGCTAGCTAGCTACCTAGCTAGCCAATCAGCTAGCTAGCTAGCTAGCTAGCCAACTAGCTAGCTAGCCAGCTAGCTGAGGGGCGTGAGGGGCGTAGCTAGCTGGAGGTATTGGCAGCTAATTAGGGGCAAGGACTTGTTGAAATTGTAGACCCTCGAGTTGCGGCGTTAGCCCGGAACTAGTGCCTCCAGCTAGCTAGCTAGCTAGCTAGCTGGCTGGCTGGCTGGCTGGCTGGCTGGCTAGCTAGCTAGCTGGAGCAACTTTCGCTAGCCTTTGGCTAGCTGGTGTGTGGAGCTAGCCATCTTTCGGCTAGCTAGCCAGCTGGCTAGCTAGCAGGCATATGTTGGCTAGCTGGCCGCTAGGCAGCTAGCCAGCACGTATTTGTTGGCAAGCCAAGTGCTAGGCAGCCAGCTGGCTAGCTAGCTAGCTAGCTAGCACGTACATCTTGGCTAGCAGTGTGCTTGACAGCTAGCTAGCTAGCTAGCCAGCACGCACGTTCTGGGCAGCTGCGTGCCGGCCTGCTAGCTAGCTAGCTAGCTGCCCAGCTAGCTACGTAGGTAGCTTGCTAGCCACCCAGCTAGCTACCTAGCTAGCTACCCAGCTGGCCACCCAGCCACCTAGCTAGCTAGCTAGCTAGCTAGCTAGCTAGCTAGCTAGCTGGGCGTTACCTCTTGCGTCGCCTGGGTTTTCCGACTTGGCTCTTTTTCAGGTTTTTAATTTTGCGTTTTAAATTCGCGGCTTTTTCCTTCACACTCAGCTGCTTCTTTTCCCGCAAACGCCGACTCTGAAAAATAAAAAAAAAATATTTTTTTAATTTCAAAAGAAACAAAAAGAGACAAAAGAATGCTTTTTTAATTTCATCAGAGACAAAAATGCTTTTATTAATTTCAACAGAGACAAAAGGAGACCAAATCCTTTTTTTTATTTCAAAGGAGACAAAAAGAGACAAAAAATGTTTTTTTTTAATTTCAAAAGAGACGAAAATGCTCTTTTTTTTTAACATCAAAGGAGACAAAAAGAGAAAATGTTTTTAATTTCGGAAGAGAGAAAAAGAGACAATGTGTTTTTAATTCTAAGACACAAAAAGGGAAAAGAATTTTAATTTTAAAAGACAAAAGAGACAAAAATGTCTTTTATTTTTAAAGTCAAAAGAGACAAAAAGCGACAAAATGTTTTACTTCAAAAAGACAAAAAAAGACCAAAATGTTAAAAGTGGAAAGAACCAAAAAGAGACAAAACTCCACTTCAAAAGAGCGAAAAACCCCCCACCCCAAACCCTAAACCCTAAACCCTAAACCCTAAACCCTAAACCCTGCGGACCTGCTGCACCATGAGGAGCGGTTTGCTTCTGTTTTTGACGCGCTGCGGCTTCGAGGCCCGCGGAGACTCTGTCTCTTTTGGAGACACTTTTTTATTTCCGAATTTTCTTTTTTTCAAAAGTTTTTCTTCTCTGTCTCTTTCCCTTTCCCGCGCCCGCCGCCGCTTCCGCCCCGCCAGCCCCTCCAAGTCCCTCTCCGACACGAAACCCTCCTGCAGCAGCAGCAGCAGCAGCAGCAGCGGCAGCAGCAGCAGCAGCAGCAGCAGCAGCAGCAGCAGCTCGTCCAGCAGCAGCAGCGGCGGCGGCGGCGGGGGTTTGAATTGTTCGGACTTGGCGAAAAAACTGGAAAAAAAATCAGGGACATTTTTGCTGCTGCGAACTTGCCTTTTGTGTCTCTTCGATTAATTTCATTTATTTTTATTTTTAAATTTATTTCATTTTAATTTCATTTATTTCTTTTTATTTTTTAATTTATTTCTTTTAAATTTTAATTCTTTTAATTCCTAACTGTCCTTTATTTCTTAGCTCGAAGCAGCAGCGCGCACCCCAGTCCCTTCTGTCTCCTCCTCGCTGTCTCCGTCTTCGCTGCTGCTGCTGCTGCTGCTGCTGCTGCTGCTGCTGCTGCCGGCCCCCAGCAGCTTCAGCAGCTTCTGGTCCCTTTCCAAGTCCACTTGGGGGCCCCCCCCCCTCCGGGGGCCCCCCCTTATTTGCTGCGCAAGTTGCTTCGCCCGCAGCAGCTTGAGAGCAGCAAAATCGGCATCAGACAGCAGCCTTTCTCCCCCCATCGGCGCTGCTGCTGCTGCTGCTGCTGCTGCTGCTGCTGCTGCTGCTGTGTCTGCGTCTGTGGCCTCTGCTGGGTCTTCCTGCTGCTGCTGCTGCTGCTGCGGGTCGGGCTCGTTGTCTGTCTCCTCGTCTGTCGAAGGGTCTCCGTCCTCCGTGTCTCCTTCTTCAGAGTCTGTCTCTGCTTCTGTGTCTGCTGCTGCTGCTGCTGCTGCTTCTGTGTCTGCTGCTGCTGCTGCTTCTGCCTCCGTGTCTGTTGCTGCTTCTGTCTCGGAGTCTGCTGCCGCTTCCGAGTCGGAATCTGCTTCGCTGTCTCCGTCTGTCTCCTCCGTGTCGCTGTCTCCTCCGTCTGTCTCCTCGTCCTGCTGCTGCTGCTGCTGCTGCTGCAGCAGCAGCTGCTGCAGCTGCTGCTTCGACTGCTTCTTCAGGGCCTCCAACTGCGGCAGCAAATCCAAAGTTGTGGAATGACTCGGAGCCCCAAAGACAGGAAGAGACACCTGAATGCATGCAGCCAAACCCCACACTTTTGTCTCCTTTTAATTTTGCCTCTTTTTCTCTTTTTGTCTTTTTTGTTTTCTTTTTTTAACTCTTTTGCTTCTTTTTGTCTCCTTTTGCCTCTCAAAATAAACATATAAAACAAATATAAATATAAATATTAATATTAATATAAATATTAATATAAATAAATATAAATATAAATATAAATTGCAGCACTTTAGAGGAAACACACAGGCGAGTCGTCAGCCAAAGCAGCCAAGGAAACCCTAAACCCTAAACCCTAAACCCTAAACCCCAGAGAACTCCAGAGAGAGGAGACAAGGGGAGGCAACTAAGGAGAAGAGACAGAAATAAAAAGGAGACAAAGGAGACACTTCTGCAAGGGCCCAGCAGCAGGAAGTATAAATAAAGTATGGCAATATAACAGAAGGCACAGCCGCAGCCGCCGCAGCAGCAGCAGCAGCAGCAGCTGCAGCAGCAGCAGCAAAGCGAGAAAGCAGTTTGTAAGAAACTGAAGCAATTGGCGGCGGGGACAAAAAGGAGACAAAAAAGAAAAGACAAAAAGAAAGTGTGGGGCCCGGCGAGAATTTCTTTTTGTCTCCTTTGTCTCCAATACAGCAGCAGCAGCAGCAGCAGCAGCAGCAGCAGCAGACGACAGACCCACCCACACACCACCCACACACGTACAAAGCCCCAGCAGCAGCAGCAGCAGCAGCAGCAGCAGCAGCAGCAGCAGACGACGGACCCACCCACACACCACCCACACACGTACAAGGCCCCAGCAGCAGCAGCAGCAGCAGCAGCAGCAGCAGCAGCAGCAGCAGCAGGAGTGGACGGACCTGGCCGCGCTGCAGCTGCAGCGCCGCCTCTTTGCCCAGAAAGGCCCGCGGCAGCAGCTGCGGGGCTGTCTCTCTAAAGAGATTCAAAAGTCCCCTTGCTGCAGCAGAGACACTTTTGCTGCTCTTGTGCTTCGTGAACAGCAGCAAGTCCCCCAGCAGTTCCTGGGTCATGCACTGCGGGTTTCGACTGCAAATTTCCGTTATCTGGGCGCACACCCAAACCCTAAACCCTAAACCCTAAACCCTAAACCCTAAACCCTAAACCCTAAAGCGTAGTGTGCGGCGGCGGCGCCGCGCGCGCCGTGCGGCGCGCGTGGAGAGCGGGGCAGGCGGCCCGCGCCCCCGGGCGGCGCCGAGGGTTTAGGGTTTAGGGCTTAGGGTTTAGGGCTTAGGGTTTAGGGTTTAGGGTTTAGGGTTTAGGGTTTACGGCGTTGAGGCCGAGGGTGATGGCCTCTTCGCCGCGGGTTTCCGTGACGAAGTTGTCGGCAATGGTCTTGAGGAGCGGCAGCAACTCTGCTGCAGGCACTGCAGCATGAGCAGCAGTTGCTGCTGCTGCCAGCAGCTGCGGAGACAGTCTCTGAGTTGGAGACAAATAAAGAGACAAGTAATTATAAAAAGGAGACAGCAGCAGCCGGTGGTGCCCCGCCAGCCGCGCCAGCAAATTCACAAACACCAGCCGCGTGCTGAAGCTCTCCCGCTGCTGCCGCACGCGGCCTGCACGCCCACCAAACCCTAAACCCTAAACCCTAAACCCTAAACCCTAAACCCTAAACCCTCGGGTCCGAAGTTGAGGCTTAAGTCTTTCTCCGTTGGGAGCCGCTGTTGGGACGCTGCGCTGAACGCTAGGCGCGAAACCCTCGGACTCTGAACCCCTGCCCCAAACCCTAAACCCTAAACCCTAAACCCTAAACCCTAAACCCTAAACCCTAAACCCTACTGAAGAGCTTCTCCGCGAGCGAGTAGGGGTCGTAAATGAGGTCCAGAATGGCAGCAGAAGCAGCAGAACCCAACTGGCTTTGCTGCTCCTCAATTCTTTGCTGCTTGCGAACTAGGCGCTTCTGGATGCGTTGCTGCAGCAGCAACAGCCACAAACCCTAAACCCTAAACCCTAAACCCTTGCAGAGCCAGCCGCAGCGCCGCGGGGCGCAGCTGCGGCAGCCGCAACGAGCTGCAAACCCTCGGCCCCAAACCCTAAACCCTAAACCCTAAACCCTAAACCCTAGGCACCAGGCCCGCGCTGCGGACCCTTTGCTTCTTGAGTCTTCTCTTTGCTGCTAGGGTTTTCTTGGAGTGCAGCGCGCTGTGCTGCTGCAGCTCTGCTGCAGCAGCAGCAGCAACAGCTTCCTCCCCCTCCTCCTCATCAGCTTGTATGGAGTGGCTAGCTTGCATTGCTGCAGCCTGAGCAGCAACCCCACCAAAACACCACCCAGCTAGCCATGTCCAACTAGCTGCTGGCTAGCTGGGAAGCCTGCTGCCCCTAAGGCCCTGCAGCTAGCTAGTTAGCTAGCTAGCTAGCTGGCTGCGTAGCTAGCTAGGCACTCTGGCTAGCTAGTGAGCTGGCTAGCTAGCTAGCTGGGTAGCTGGTGGCTGGCTAGCTCCTGGCTAGCTAGCTAGCTGGCTACTCTGGCTAGCTAGCTAGCTGGCTAGCTGGCGACGGGCTAGCTAGCTGGCCACTCTGCCGCTGTGGCTAGCTGGCGAGCAGGCGGCCGGCCAGCCACTGGCTAGCTGGCCAGCTGGCCACAGTGGCTAGCAGCCAGCTAGCTAGCCAGCTAGCTAGCCAGCTAGCCAGCTAGCTATCTAGCCAGCTAGCTAGCTAGCTATCTAGCCAGCTAGCTAGCTAGCTAGCTAGCCAGCCAGTTAGCCAGCTAGCTAGCTAGCCAGCTATCCAGCTAGCTAGCCAGCTAGCCAGCCAGCTAGCCAGCTAGCTAGCTAGCTGGCGACGCGCCTGGATCTCTCCGAGGAGAAAGAGGGCGGCGCTGAGGGCGAGGCGGGAGTCGGGAGCGAGAGACGATCCCGCAATGGAGTTGACAACTTTGGCAGTTGTGGGGTGTGGGGTTTTGCTGCGGGCGCTGAGGTGTCTGTACACCTGGAAGAGACACAGCAGCGCCAGCCGCGGCGCACTCGGAGACACCCCACACTTCAAAAGGCCAAACAGCCGCGCCAGCAGCGAGTTCCGCCCCTGCGCAGCAAAACCCTAAACCCTAAACCCTAAACCCTAAACCCTAAACCCTAAACCCTAAACCCTAAACCCTAAGCATGGGCCCGGGCGCGGGGCGTCGGGGACGCGCCCCAACAGGCAGACGCTGTCCCCGTGCGCAGCCACAAATCGAATACGAACCCCAGCAACAAACCCTAAACCCTAAACCCTAAACCCTAAACCCTAAACCCTGACTTGGATGCAACCCTAAACCCTAAACCCTAAACCCTGACTTGGATGCTGTTGGTGCTCGCGAAAACCCTAGAAACGTCCTTCACCACGAAAGACATCAGCCTCTGCCGCAACAACTTGTCTTTCAAAGACAACAGAGACAACGCCTGCTGCAGCAGCTCTTCGCAGCTTAGCTGCAAACACACCGCCAAACCCTAAACCCTAAACCCTAAACCCTAAACCCTAAACCCTAAACCCTAGTAAACCCTAAACCCTAAGCCCTGAGCACTACCAAAGACCGCCCCAGAGCCCACGCCGACGGGCCCCGCCTCCCCAAGCGGGCCCGCCAAGCCTTCAGGGAGCGACTAGGGTTTAGGGTTTAGGGTTTAGGGTTTAGGGTTTACCATTTTTCTGCTTCTCAACAGCAGCATTGCGTTAAGCAGCGCGTGGCGGGTGGTCGGGTGCAGTTCCACTTGAGTCAGCAGCTCCAGAATAATTTGTTTTACTTCTTCAGAAGGCGAGGGGCCCCCCCGGGGGGCCCCCCGGGGCTGGTATGGACTCCGTACCAAACGCGTCAAACACCGGCAAGTCCTGGGGGCCCTTGGGGGGCCCCCCTGCCCACGTTACTTCTTCAGAAGGCGAGGGGCCCCCCCGGGTGGCCCCCGGGGCTGGTATGGACTCCGTACCAAACGCATCAAACACCGGCAAGTCCTGGGGGCCCTTGGGGGGCCCCCCTGCCCACGCGTCTTGCACTTCGGCGCTGTAGCAAGGGGCGGTCTGCAGCAGCAGCCCCAGAATTAGGGTTTAGGGTTTAGGGTTTAGGGTTTAGGGTTTGGGGTTTAGGGGCAGCGCCCGGCAGAGAGCCTGGAGAATCGCTAGGGCCTAGGGTTTGGGCTCCGAGCTCAGGGCGCTGCTGCGCCGCGTTGCGCTTCCGCGCAAAGCGGCACCACGGCCTAGGGTTTAGGGTTTAGGGTTTAGGGTTTAGGGTTTAGGGTTTACGTGGGCGAGGAACATGACGAGACTCTGCAGCTTCCTCGTGGGCCTGTAGGGCTGCTGCTTCAGGGCCTCCGCGAGGCCCCTGAAGTTGGTTAGCTGCAAAAGGAATTCTTCGCGGTAGGCCGGGGGGTCTCTCTTTATCTTGTTCTGCCCGCAAACCCTAAACCCTAAACCCTAAACCCTAAACCCTAAACCCTAAACCCTAGGCCCGGCGCCCGGGCCACGAGCCCGAAGGCGGACTCGCGGCGAATTCGAGCGCTCGCTGCGGCGGGAAAGAGAAGCCAGAAAACGCGGCAACTTCGCGGGGATGCGAAACCCTAAGCCCTAAACCCTAAACCCTAAACCCTAAACCCTAAACCCTAAACCCGAGCCGTCACTAGCAGCTCAGGCTCACCTGGAGGAGCGCCAAGGACATGATGGACTCCTCCTGCTCGTCGTTGAGGCTCTTCATCTTGCCTTGCCGGTGTGAAGCCCTAAACCCTAAACCCTAAACCCTAAACCCTAAACCCTAGCCCGGGCCTGGCGGCGGCGCAGGGTCTGCGTTGGCTGTCTCTCCTGGGGTGTACGTACACCTCAAAGTCCCCTCGAATTAAACACCAAAAGATTTGCTGCAGTGGGGAGCAGCAAAAGGAGGAAGGAGAAAGGGTGGGGCCCCACACGGTGCCCCAAACCCTAAACCCTAAACCCTAAACCCTAAACCCTAAACCCTAAACCCTAGCCCGGTCCCTGGCAAGGACTTCTTCAGTTTTTATGACTGGAAATTAAATTCTTCCAATCTACAAATCAAAAAGAAGGACAACGCGGGACTCTGGAGCCCAAGGCGCATGCCGGCGCAGCGGTCCTCTTCGGGGTTAGGGTTTAGGGTTTAGGGTTTAGGGTTTAGGGTTTAGAGCTTCGAGTTCGGGGTTATATCTTTGTGAATTCTATTTAAATTTCGCATTGTTTTTCAATTGTTTTAATGAAGGCACTGCCGGAAGTCCCCGAGTTCCCCAGCCCTGCGCCCGAGGCCCCAGACCCCAAACCCTAAACCCTAAACCCTAAACCCTAAACCCTAATCTTGTTGCAGCTCAGACCCGAAGCAAACCCTCGCTTCCCGGACTGCGCGCGCGGCGCGCGGCGCGCGCCAACCCCCTCCCCCAAGCCTCACCCCCCACCCCAAACCCCAAACCCTAAACCCTAAACCCTAAACCCTAAACCCTAAACCCTCGAGGATGAACGCGGAGGAGGTTTTGCTAGGGTTTATGCAGCCCGAACAGCGAGTCCCTCGCTGGTTCTTTCCTTCCAAAGTCGGGGGTTTTCCGCACTGGCATTCTTTGCCTCCGCCAGGGGACTTGTTCTGCAGTGTATGTACACCCCAAGTGCCCCTCACCCTCCTCGTCCAGGTCCGCTGCTGCTGCTGCTGCTGCTGCTGCTGCTGCTGCTGCTGCATGGGGTGCTGCTGCTGGGGGCGCAGCTGGTGCTGCTGCTGCTGCTGGTTCCGCCGCTGCAGCTGTGCTGCTGCTGCGGATGTTTCTGCTGCCGTTGCTGCTGGCTCTGCTGCTGCTGCAGCTGCTGCTGCTGCAGCTGCTGCTGCTGCGGCTGCTGCTGCAGCAATTCAAGCTGCAGCAGCAGCTCTCGGTGCTGGGCGGGAGCCGCGGTTGCTGCCGAGCGTCTGCTGCTGCTGCGCCGCCGCCGCTGACTCCCCGCTGCCGCTGCTGCTGCTGCTGCTGCTGCTGCTGCTGCTGCTGCTGCTGCTGCTGCTGCAGGTCTACGCGCCGGAGGAGGAGGGCCCGGCTGCTTCCTTCCACAGGTGTCTCTATTTGTTTTGCTGCTTGTCTTGTGGGGTCCACTTCCGCGCGGTGTCTGTACACCTCCCCAGGGAAAACGAGGAGTACCCCAACTGCGCAATCTCCACTTACTTCGAGTCCAAGAAGGAGTTTTGGAGACTCTGGCAGCAGCAGCAGCAGCAGCAGCAGCAGCAGCAGCAGCAGCAGGAGCGGGAAGAGGGAAAGAGGGAGGAGCAGAGCAGCAGCAGCGGCGGCGACAGCCAGAACGGCAGCAGCAGCAGCAGCGCAGACGCGGCCGCAGCAGCGCCTGGCGCTGCAGCAGCAGCGCCAAAGCCCCAGCAGCAGCAGCAGCAGCAGCAGCAACAGCAGCAGCAGCAGCAGCAGAAGCGGGAAGACGGAGAGAGGGAGGAGCAGAGCAGCAGTAGCGCAGACGCGGCCGCAGCAGCCCCTGGCGCTGCAGCAGCAACGCCAAAGCCTCAGCAGCAGCAGCAGCAGCAGCAGCAGCAGCAGCAGCAGCAGCAGCAGCAGCAGCAGCAGCACCAGGTCATTGACATGGCCACTAAGCTGCGAGTCATCAGGCAGCTGCAGCGCGGAGAGCAGCAGAGACACTTTTGCTGCTGCCCCGTGTGCGGGCTGGCTGGCGGGGAGACAGTTGGGGAGACAGATCTTGCTGCTGCTGCTGGTTTGCTGCAGCAGCAGCTGCTGCGGGAGGAGCGGCGGCTGCAGAGCGTGCTGCAGCAGCAGCGCGCAGCAGCAGCAGCAGCAGCAGCAGCAGCAGCAGAATCTGAAGAGGAGACAGATGTTCCAAATGTTGTGGATTTAGATGAAGGAAACTTCGAAGCAGAAGACACAGAAGCAGACCAGCGGGGTTTGCTGCTGCTAGACGCAGAACACATCAAAGGTAACTCAAACCCTAAACCCTAAACCCTAAACCCTAAACCCTAGTCCGCAGCTGCCGCTCGACAGACCCTAGGTCTTCACTTTCTAAAGAGTTTCCAGGCCCTATGCTCTAAACCCTAGCCCTAAACCCTAAACCCTAAACCCTAGCGCCTCTCAGCGCTTGAATGGTAGTGTCGACTTGGCAGCAAGTTCCAGGGTTTAGGGTTTAGGGTTTAGGGTTTAGGGTTTAGGGTTTGTGGGTGGCGCACACTTGGCTCCAGCTTCGCCGCAGGGTTTAGCCTGAGGGTTCGAAGCGGCTGCTGCCACCCGCACTAAGTCCCGCGCCAGCGCCCAGGGTTTAGGGTTTAGGGTTTAGGGTTTAGGGTTTAGGGTTTAGGGTTTAGGGTTTGGGGCTGCAGCGAGCAAAGTGCTGCACCCGCGGTGCCTGAAGCGGCTCAAGTTCGGCAGCGTTTTTGTCTCCTTTAAAGAGAGTCCCTTGCGGGCGGAGACAGAGGACTTGGGGTGTACAGACACCTCGCAAAAGGAGACACTTGAGGCGCTGCTGCTGCGGCTGCAAAAAGGAGACAGCAGCAGCAGCAGCAGCAAACTCTCCCACGAGGAGCAGCTGCTCCTCAACTACCACCGAAACGTCACTCAAAACCCTGGTAAACCCTAAACCCTAAACCCTAAACCCTGCCAAGCCCGCTGCTGCTTGCTGCTGCTGCTTTGCTGCTGCTTTGCTGCTGCTGCTGCTGCTTCGCTGCTGCTGCTGCTGCTGCTGCTGCTTGGCTGCCGCTGCTTCTCTGCTGCTGCTGCCGCAGCCGTAGCCACCGCAGCAGCAGCAGCAGCAGCAGCAGCAGCAGCAGCAGCAGCAGCAGCAGCACGTTGGGCGCGCAGAGGAGGAGCTGGACTGCTCGGAGTTGGCGGCTTTTGAGGAAATTCACTTGGAGACAGCAAAAGGAGACAGACAGCTGGAGTTGTTTTTGCAAAGAGTGAGGAGACACCCCACAAGGGGACAAGTGCTGCGATTTGCGCAGCAAGGAGACCCCTTGTGGCCCTTCAGCCAGCAGCAACTCCAAACCCCACAAGTCCCCCGCTGCTGCTGCGGAGAAAGGAGACACTTCGAGTTCCAGGTCGGGCCTAGGAGACAGTTTTATTTTATTAACGAGTTTTGAGGAGACAGTTTTATTTTATTAACGAGTTCTTGAGGAGACAGTTTTATTTTATTCACGAGTTCTTGAGGAGACAGTTTTGTTTTATTAAGAGTTCTTGAGGAGACAGTTTTGTTTTATTAACGAGTTTTGAGGAGACAGTTTTATTTTATTAACGAGTTTTGAGGAGACAGTTTTATTTTATTAATGAATTCTTGAGGAGACAGTTTATTTTATTAACGAGTTCTTGAGGAGACAGTTTTATTTTATTAACGAGTTCTTGAGGAGACAGTTTTATTTTATTAACGAGTTCTTGAGGAGACAGTTTTATTCTATTTACAAGTTCTTGAGGAGACAGTTTTATTCTATTTACAAGTTCTTGAGGAGACAGTTTGTTTTATTAACGAGTTCTTGAGGAGACAGTTTGTTTTATTCACGAGTTCTTGAGGAGACAGTTTGTTTTATTCACGAGTTCTCGAGGAGACAGTTTTATTTTCTATATACTTTAGAAGTTCTTTCCAAGGCTTAAGGAGACAGTTTTATTTTATTAACAAGTTCTTTCCAAGGCTTTAAGGAGACAGTTTTATTTTCTTAAGAAGTTCTTTTAATGCATGCATGCATGCATCATTAATGCATGCATGCATGCATCATTAGTGCATGCATGCATGCATCATTAGTGCATGCATGCATGCATCATTAATGCATGCATGCATGCATTAATGATGCATGCATTGAGGAGACTTAAAGAGACAGAGATAAGGGACAAAAGAGAGACAGGAGACACTTTAGCTGGAGCAATGCCTGTCAATAATGCATGCATTGAGGAGACTTAAAGAGACAGAGATAAGGGACAAAAGAGAGACAGGAGACACTTTAGCTGGAGCAAGGCCTGTGCCGCGCCTTTAAAGTTGTCTCTGCCCAATTTGCTGCTGCTGCTGCTGCTGCTGCTGCTGCTGCTGCTGCTGCTGCTGCTGCAGGTGCAGCCGCAGCTGCTGTCGTTTCTGGCGGAGGGCGTGGGATCGGATCCCGCAGCAGCAGCAGCACTGGAGCGGCTGGCCTTCGGGGCTGTTGCAGTGTTTTGCTGCAGCAGCAAAAGCTGCTGCTGCTTCTCAAAAGGAGACAGTGGATACAGAGAAGAGTTCGTTTATGCGCAGCCGGACCCGCTGCACAGCTGAGCTGTACAGACACCCGCGAGGTGTACAGACACCCGCGAGGTGTACAGACACCCCAGGTGTGGGGCCCCACACTTGGAGACAGCGGCTGCTGCTGCGGAGACAGAAAAGGGGAAAAGGAGACAAAAGAAAACAAAAAGGAGACAAAAGGAAAAGAGACAAAAGAAGAGAAAAAGGAGAGAAAAAGGAGACAAAAAGAAGAGAAAAGGGACAGAAAAGAAGCAAAAGGAGACAAAAAGGGACACAAAAGGAGACAGAAAGAAAAGAAAATCTGAAAAGACAAAAAGACAAAAAGAGACGCAGTGAAGCAGCAAGGAGACAGCTGGCGCTGCTGCGCTGCAGTGCTTCCGCAAGAGCTTTTGCTGCTGCAGACTCAATTTTATTTTGAAGCATTTCTGCTGCTGCTGCTGCTGTTGCTGCTGCTGCTGCTGCTGCTGCTGCTGAGTTGCATTTTATTTTAAATGGAACTTTTAGTTCTTTTTGCTTCCAAAGGCCCAAACAGCTGTAGGGACACCGCGAGGGGACAGCTGCTGCAGTTCGTCTCCGCTGATTAGCAGCAGCAGCAGCAGCAGCAGCAGCAGAAGCAGCAGCAGCAACAGTAGCAGCAGCAGCAACAGTAGCAGTAGCAGCAGCAGCAGTGCAGGCGCTAGCGGCAACTGCAGCAGCAGCAACAGCAGCAGCAGCTGCTGCTGCTGCAGCAGCAGCAGCAGCAAATGGGCTTGCACACTAGGAGATCTTTAAGAACTTGATGGGCTTATTTTGGGGCTTTCAGAACGCGATGGGCGTTGGGAGAAATAACAGCCGCGCAACTAGGGTTTAGGGTTTAGGGTTTAGGGTTTAGGGTTTAGGGTTTGGGGTTGTGGGCCAGGGGTTCAGTTTCTAGCTGAAGCTTCGCGGGAAAAACTTGGTCTCTAAAGTGTGGGGTTGGAGACAGAGAAAGGAGACACCTGGGGTCAAGGTGTACGTACACCTCAGCGGCGACGCTCCCAGCGCAGCAGCTGGCTGCTGCTGCTGCTGCTGCTGCTGCTGCTGCTGCTGCTGCTGCTGCTGCTGGCTTTCTTGTTTAGCCCCCTGCTGCTGTCTCTCTTTTTTGTCAAACTGGAAAAAATGAATTAACTTGGAAGTTCGCAAAAGGGCTTGTTTGCTGCAGAGGGTCCTTGCGGATCTGAGGTGTACGTACACCTCAGCGCGACTGCGGCAGTGGTTCGGTCCAGGCCTGCTGCTGCTGCTGCTGCTGCTGCTGCTGCTGCTGCTGCTTTTTCTTTGCTTTTTTCGCATTTATTTATTTTAATAATTAATCTATTTTTAATTCAACTTTTATTTCAGCGCCGGGGGGGCCCCGGGGCCCCTGCGCCGCCGCGGGCTCGAGCTGTACAGACACCTGGGGACGACGGCCTCGGCCAGGATGCTGCTGCTGCTGCAGCAGCAGCAGCAGCTGCTGCTGCTGCTGCTGCTCCTTTGCTGCCTCGGCTTCTCGCCGGTGAGTCTCCCGAGCAGCAGCAGCAGCAGCAACAGCAGCAGCAGCAGCAGCAGCAGCAGCAGCAGCAGGGCTAGCAAGGCCAATGGGCCCCCAGAAACACCCACACACGCTGTCTGCTGTCTCCTCTTTAGGCCCTGCAGCTAACTGGCAGTGCAGCAGCAGCAGCAGCAGCAGCAGCAAAACCCAGCAGCAGCCCCCTAGAGGTCAATAACATCCCCAGTGAGTCAAGGCCCAAACCCTAAACCCTAAACCCTAAACCCTAAACCCTAGGCTCGGCTACAGCTGGGAAGCCGAAGTGCCCAGAGAGCTCATGCTGCTGCGGTCCTCTGCTGCCACTTCTGCTGCAGCTGTCCGTTTGCTGCTGCTGCTCTTGCTCTTCTGCTGCTGCTGCTGCTGCTGCTGCATTTCCGTTGCTGCTGCTGCTGCTATTCTTGCTGCTGCCGCTGCGACTACCTTCGCTGCTGCTGCTGCCTTGTCTGCCGCCGCTTCTTCCGCCGCTGCTGCTGCCGCGCTGCTGCCGCTGCAGCAGCAGCAGCAGCAGCAGCAGCAGCCCTTCCGGCTTGCTGCAGCAGCAAGCAGCAGCAAGCAGCAGCAAGTCCCTTTTTGCTGCTTGCGTGTGGGGCCCGCAGCACTGCGCCGCAGCAACTCCCCCCATTTGCTGCTGCAGGGGGCCCCCGAGTTTTTGTCCTTTGCGCAGCAGGGGCTGGCTTCAGGTGTACGTACACCTCAGGGGGGCCCCCCGGGGACCTGCGCCGCGGGGGGCCCCTCCTGTGGGGCCCCACAGGCTGCTTTGGAGACAAAAGGGGACAAAAGAAGTGGGCCCCGGGGGCCCCCTGAGTCCCGGAGGGCCCCCGTGTCTCTGGGGCCCTCCAGGGGGCCCCCCAAGCTGGCGTTCCTGGAGGCCGTGAGGGAGGGGGGGGGCCCCCTCAGGGGGGGCCCCCGGAGGGGCCCCCGGGGGGCCCCCGGGGGGCCCCCCGCAAACCCCCAACTCGAACAAGCCGTGACAAGGGCCTTTTATTCGTACCCTTTGTTTGAGGGGGGGGGCCTCAAAATGTACATTCACAGAAAGGGACAAAAAAAGCTTTTGAAAGAATTGCATAAAGCTGGGGCTTTTGATTTGCATGTAAATGAAGAAAATAAGGAACAGTGGAGTTTCATGGAGTCCCTGGGACGCAGCTACCTCCGTGAGGGTTTAGGGTTTAGGGTTTAGGGTTTAGGGTTTAGGGTTTAGGGTTTAGGGTCTGGGGCTAGGGTTTAGGGTTTGGGGTTTGAAGATTGGGCCAGGGTGTGAGAAGTAGCTGCAAAGCTTGACTGGGAGAGTGGCGTGCTCCACCTGAGCCGTCTTGGTCTCCAGCCTAGGGTTTAGGGTTTAGGGTTTAGGGTTTAGGGTTTAGGGTTTAGGGTTTGTGTGGGCGCAGAGCAGAGGGCGAAGACGCAGTGGTTCTGGAACCTCTTTAAGTCAAAGAATAAGGACAAAGAAGAAAAAGAGACAGCAGCAGCAGCAGCAGCAGCAAAAGAAGGAGCAGCAGCAAACGGCGCAGCAGCAGCAGCAGCAGACGGTGCAGCAGCAGCCTTAGACGCCCATGGGGCCTCGGGGGCCTCCGGGGGGGCCCCCCAAAACGCGGAAGAGACCCAGGGGGCCCCCCAGGACCCGGAAGAGACCCAGGGGGCCCCCCAGGACCCGGAAGAGACCCAGGGGGCCCCCCAGGAAAAGGAGACAGTGCCGGTGACCCCGTCAGTGCTGCAGGCGCAGCTGGACTTGGAGTGCGAAGTGGCCTTTCCGGGGGGCGGCCGCATGGCCGCGCGGGCCCTGGAGGGGACAGTTTACTGTCTCCTTTTGGAGTCTCTGAATTTGCAAAAAATGGGGACTTGTCTCGACGTTTGTCTCCAGGCCTTCAACTGCCCCGGCAAGCCCCGCCAGGGGGCCCAGAAACACTTGCTGCCCCTCGACAGGCACGAGCTCCTCAAGCGCTGGTGCAGTGAGCCCCCCAGCTAGCTAGCTAGCTAGCTAGCTAGCTAGCTAGGCAGTTAGTTAGTTTCCTAGCTAGGTAGTTAGTTAGTTAGTTAGCTAGCTAGCTAGCTAGCTAGGTAGCTAGCTAGGTAGTTAGTTAGTTAGTTAGCTAGCTAGCTAGCTAGCTGGCTAGCCACGCAGCTGGCTGGATGGCCGCGCAGCTGGCTGGCTAGCCGCACGGCTGGCTAGCTAGCTAGACAGCTGGCTGGCTACCTAGCTGGGTAGTTAGCGAGCTAGCTAGCTGGCGGGCTGGCGGGCGGGTGGGCTAGCTGGGTAGCTAGCTAGTTGGGTGCTAGCTGGGTAGATAGCTAGTGGGGGGAGGGCTGGGTAGCTAGCTGGGTAGCTAGTTAGCTGGTTGGCTGGCTGGATAAGTAACCAGCTAAGCAGCTAGCCAGCTAGCTAGCTCAGTGGGCAGTTGTCGTGGCAGCTGGCTGGCTGGCTAGCCAGCTCAGGAGGCAGCTAGCTAGCCGTCGACTTGCCGGGCACCCCAATGAGGCAGCTAGCTAGTCAGCCAGCTAGCTGCTGAGCGGGCGCCCAGCAAGCTAGCTAGCTGCCTAGCTAGCTAGCTAGCTCTCTAGCTAGCTGTGTAGCGCTGAATAGCTAGTTCGACGGGCCCACGCGGGAAGCAGGTTGGAGGGAGTCAGCTAGCCAGCGCTGGACCCGCTAGCTAGCCAGGTCCCCCTGAGTCGCGCAGCTAGCTCACTAGCTAGCCAGCAAGCTAGCCAGCCAGCTCACCAACTAGCCAGCTAGCCAGCTAGCTAGCCAGCCAGCTCATCAGCTAGCTAGCTAGCCAGCTAGCTATCTAGCCAGCTCTCCAGCTAGCTATCTAGCCAGCCAGCCAGCTCGCCAGCTAGCTAGCCAGATAGCCGCTAGCTAGCTAGCTAGCCAGATAGCCGCTAGCTAGCTAGCTAGCTAGCTAGCTAGCTAGCTGTGTGTTCCCCGTGGGCTGTGTTGCTCAGCGTCGTCGGAGCTGCAGCGAGCAGCAGACCGGCACTTCTGCGGAGACAGCGCAGTGGTGCGGCTGATGGATGAGTCAGCAGCAGCAGCAGCAGCAGCAGCAACAGCAGCAGCAGCAGAACACTGGGTGTGTCTCCCTATCTCCGACGAGATGGAGTTCATCGACAGTCTCCATTGTGTGGGGTCCTGCGGAGAGTCAATGCGCTGTCTGTCTCCAAAGGCCGCTCTTCTCCTCAAAGGCCCCGGAAGTTCTTTTCACTCTTTCATCAAGTCCAAAATCCCCCCCAACTGCAGTCAGCCCCAAACACTGCATGCACTCACCTGCATGCATGCACTCACCTGCATGCATGCATGCGCCTGCATGCATGCACTCACCTGCATGCATGCATGCACCTGCATGCATGCACACACCTCCATGCATGCACGCGAACGTGTGCACTGGTTGCAGTTTTGTTGATGAAATGCGTGCATGCATGCATGCATGCATGTGCGCATACATGCATGCATGCATGTGTGCATGCATGCATCTATGCATGCCTTCATGCATGTGTGCATGCATGCATGCATGCATGCATGAAGGCATGCATGCATGCATGCATGTTGTGGGCAGTGTCCAGGTGTCTGAGCGTGCGCTGAGTAGTTCTTTTTATTGAAAAAGTGCAAATAAAGGGCCAGCTGTAGAATTGCCAAAGTCGAAAACTAAACATAAAAAATAAAACTTGTAGAATTGCCAAAGTCTAAAACTAGAAGTAAATAATAAGAATGAAAACAAAAACTAAAATGGATATTGCCTTGCGTTTGCATTTGCGAAAGAGCAAAATGGGGGCGGGGTGGGGGGCGCTGCGGTGTACGTACACCTGAGCATGGGGCGGCGCCGCGGTGTACGTACACCTGAAGTGTCCGTCCAGCTGGGGTGTACGCACAGCTGAGGAGCTGGGGTGTACGTACAGCTGGGGTGTACGTCCAGCTGGGGTGTACGTCGAGCTGGGGTGTATGCACAGCTCGGGTGTACGTCCACTGGGGTGTATGCACAGCTGGGGTGTACATACAGCTGGGGTGTACGTCCAGCTGGGGTGTACATACAGCTGAGGTGTACGCCCAGCTGGGGTGTACGTCCAGCTGGGGTGTACGTACAGCTGGGGAGGCGGGTGTAGGTGGAGCTGGGGTGTAGGTCCAGCTGGGGTGTACGTACAGCTGAGGCGGCAGGTGTAGGTCCAGCTGGGGTGTACGTACAGCTGAGGTGTACGTACAGCTGGGGTGTACGTACAGCTGAGGAGGCGGGTGTAGGGACAGTGCGTTTGGGCGCAGGCTGCCGCGAAGGGACAGCTGGCGAGGGATATGTGGGGTGTCAAACGCGGACGCGTTTGC